TGGATGAGCAGAACAGCAATTAAGTCAGGCAAAAATAAAGAAAAAAATAAAAGGACAAAAAGGTTAAAAGAGATTTAAAACATGAACACACACAAACACATACACACACCCTAAAATAAAAATTATGAAGAAAAAAAAGAGAAACTTTTTTATTAAAAAATATGTAGAAAAAAAGAGTTCTCTGATTTTTTGGGTACCTTGGGGGAAGATTTGTATATCCCATCTGTCTGTAACCAGTCTCATGGTGGAGTCTCTGGTTTGCTTGTGATGTTTGGTTTTCCTCTTTCTTGATTGTTTTCTTCAGTCAGTTTGTTTGAGCAGGCAGAAAAAAAGCTCTCCCATACCCAGGACTTTGTGATCTTCCTCCCAGGCTAGTTCAGTGGGAAGGTCATGTGCTGAGTATCACAAAAGAGTCAGATGGCTGTTTCCTCTAGCTTGGAGTTGCTGTGATGAGGCTAAGTTCTGGGTAGGGTTTAGGCCTGACAGCAATCAGTAGCTTTTCCTTGAGTGGCTAGCTCTGGAGACAGGCATATTGCCCAGCCTGGAGCCATTCTCAGGATTTATGTTTACTGAGTTTCAATTGTTTGTCTTTAATCCCTCCTACTGCTGGGTCCTGTCTAGGCTGCAGTGGGAAGGGACAGCCTCTGGCTCTGTTTACCCTGTGAAGAAAGTCATTCCTATGGTCACAGAGCTCCCTCTGCCTGGGAAAGGCAACTTTCCACTGGGTGGAGCTGAGCCTGGCAGTTCGGGTCAGGTTCCTGTGACCTGTTGAATGGCTCCTATTGTTTTCTTCCAAGGCCTGAGTTGGAGCTAGTTTCTTGGGCCAGGTCTTTGTCAGTATGAAAGATGGGGTTCTTCTCCAGTGGTGATGGAGGGGCTACCTTCCACTGCAGCTCCTTGAGAAGGAGTAAAGATGTCTTGTAGGTATTCATATCAGCCTCTTGGTTTCTGGGCCATCTATGTTCTGTGATCAGCAGGATGAAGATTCTGGCTCCTTATCAGTTCTTGCTGGTGGTGAGTAGAATCCACTAATACACCATGTCTGGTGCCTTTGTCTCGGGATCTCTCTGTTGATATGATGGCCACCACGAGGGACATAGGCAAGTGCTCAAATATGTCTCCTTGACCAAGCAACTGGGATTTTTCTTCTCTGGCCAAACTCTCTGTAGTGTGATGGCACACTTGGTGTGATTTTCTAGCCTAGGACTGTTCACTAGAACACTAAAACCGCTTTCTAAGCAAGAGCTGGATTAGCTTCCAGGTTCTCCTCTGCCATCTTCCTACAGATTCCACAGTGATTGTTTTAAGTTACATTTTTGTCCACACAGAAAAGATGAATCTTGCATATTGCTATTTTCCAGTGCCCACAACTGTTCTTGGCACAGGACAAGCGTTCAGAAAGGTGGATGAAGTTGAAGAAGTGAGCATTACTATAGAGTTTCCAAGACTGTTTTCTCTGTTCCTACTGTTTCACAGATAAATAGGCAAGATGAACATAATTAGAAGAATTCAAGTATGTGCCACAGGAATGAAATTGTTTTACAGAGTCATGCATGAAATTGAGACATGTACAATTACAATTTTCAGTAGGATTGGAAAATAGGGCACAGTTCAGTTCGTAAGAGTGAGGAAAGTGCAGAAAATTGTCAGGATATTAGAATACTCCAACTGTCATGATGTTAATATATGTGATAATCACTGAAGGAACAAAGTTGAATTTTTATGTAAAAGCCTGAATAAAAAGCTAGATGGATAATGGGAACAGGTCATGGTTTAGAAAAGAAAAAAATACTTTTATTGTAAATGCTGTCAGGTTAGGATAACTTCTAAGTGAAAAATTTCCTAAATTCTTTGAAGTAAAAGACATGCACAACAAGAACTAATGGTAGCTTACACTTCCCACCAGATACGGGCCAGTGTGTGAAATGTGCAGATCATCAGTATGTCAACACACAGAGAAATCAGTGCCTCCTGAGAGATGCAAGTTTCCTGGCTTTTGGAGATCCCTTGGGCATGGCTCTGGCATGCATGGCTATCGGCTTCTCTATGCTAACTGTTGCTGTTCTTGGGATATTTGTGAAACACCAAGACACTGCCATTGTCAAGGCCAATAACCGGACTCTCAGCTACATCTTGCTCATCTCCCTCAGCCTCTGTTTCCTCTGTTCCTTGCTCTTTCTGGGCCATCCCAACACAGTCACCTGCATCCTGCAACAGGTCACATTTGGAGTAGTGTTCACTGTAGCTGTTTCCACAGTACTGGCCAAAACAGTGACTGTGGTCCTGGCCTTCAAGGCCACTTCCCCAGGGAGAAAGATGAGGTGGCTGCTGGTATCAGGGGCTCCAAACCTCATCATTCCCATCTGCACCCTGATCCAGGTGACCCTCTGTGGACTCTGGTTGGGGACCTATCCTCCCTTTGTGGACACAGATGCACACTCTGAACATGGCCACATCATCATCCTGTGCAACAAGGGATCCCTCACTGCCTTCTACTGTGTCCTGGGATTCCTCGGCTCTCTGGCCCTGGCCAGCTTCACTGTGGCTTTTCTGGCCAGGAACCTGCCTGACACCTTCAATGAAGCCAAGTTCCTGACCTTCAGCATGCTAGTGTTTTGCAGTGTGTGGCTCACCTTCCTGCCTGTGTACCACAGTGCCACGGGGAAGGTCATGGTGGCTGTAGAGGTCTTCTCCATCTTGGCCTCTGGTGCAGGACTCCTAGGCTGCATATTTGCCCCAAAGTGTTACAACATCTTGTTAGTGCCAAATAAAAATTCTCTGCATGGTTTCAGCGATAAAAGACTTAGTAAGAGAAACAAACATTCTTAAGATTATACTCTCTTTTTGATTACTAACTTTTTTACAGTAATTTTTTCTTCTTGTAATGCTTAGTATTATGAAATTTTTACTTTGATAATAAGGATCTATTGTACGTTTTCTAGTCGTGGTAGTCACAATTACTCACCATTTAAAGTGGAATTTTTCTGCTATATTTTTGCTTCCTCCTATTCAATCTAAACATTATTCTGTCATACCCTCTTCTTAGTGTCTTTTTCACTGATGATTTTCAAAATCACTTTTCTAAATTTTTTAATATATTAGCTTCCTCTCTGAATACCACCATGATAGAGAGTCCTCTAATATGTTTCATTAGTATTTTACTCTTGACAAAATTTCCTCTTTAAATATCATCCTTAGAGATTGTTTTGGTCACTACTTCTATATTTCTATTCACACATTCACCTTTGCAAGTATGCTGAGTCTCTTTGGTGACACCTTTCTTGATGTGTCTGTCTTTCTTTCTTTTTGCCATTCTCCATCTCCTTCTCTCTCAGCAGTCCTCCCTCTCAGGCTGCTTTCCTCATATGGCATTAGGAATGACTTGGCTAAGCTACAAAAATATTCTTCACTTTAAGATTATAATGTAGAAGACCTTTTGACTCTTCTAAGTTCAAATTCTGTAATGCATCATAGCTTGCTCTCCATGTCTAGATATACTTTTTAATTTGTTGTTCATTAATGAATTTTTACTCATTTAATACATACAATTTTAAATAATGAATATTTATGATTATTTCTTTTAATGTAGCACTTCTTACATTCTGTTGAAAGATGAATAATTTTTAATTTTGTTGTTGGTTGTGGGGCTTGAACTCTGGGACTGTGTGCTCTCCCTGAGCTCTTCAGCTCAAGATGAGCAATCTACCATTGAGCCACAGCACCATTTCCACTTTTCTGGTGGTTAGTTGGAGATAAGAGTCCCACAAACTTTATTGCCCAGGCTAGTCTTGAACCACAATCCTCAGATCTCAGCCTCCTGAGTAGTTAGGGTTACAGGCATAAGCCAGCAGTGCCTGGCTGAAATATGAACATTTCAAAACTCTCAATTTGATAAGGAAAGCATGACTTATTCTTTCAAATAGGTTGACTTAGTAGATTCTATACTATTTCTACAGAATCCCATATTCAAGTCATATAGACACAATTGTACTCATTTCTCATCTCTTCTAGTGTT